AATTGCTAATCCCAATGACAATTCTAGTTGGCTTCTTCGCACCAAGTTACCACTGACCTGAGCAATCTATCCATTCATGCTCCTTGTGACGGGTCTGATGACATTGTGATTGGAGATGGTACGGGTCTATCTACCACCCTCACCGATTCAAAATCTCTCTATACACTATCTCATACATTTTCCTTAAATAATGTTCTTTGTGTTCCCACTATGAAAAAGAATCTCATCTCTATCTCACAATTTTGTCAATCCAATAATACATCAATTGAGTTCTTACCTCATTCTTTTCTTATGAAGGATCTCCGTACAGGGCAACACTTTTGCAGGGTCGGACTAAGGACGGTGTATATGAGTGGTCGGTATCCCGTGTTAAGCCCTCTCCAATATTAGCTTTCTCAAGTGTTAAGACCACTTCTTCTGCATGGCATCATTGTCTAGGACACCCATCATTCTCTATTTTTAAGCATATTGCCTCAAACTTTCATTTAGAATTGTTAAGTCCTCTCAATTTGAATTTCAATTGTAATTCCTGTCAATGCAATAAAAGTCACCAGTTACCTTTCTCCATTTCCTCAATAGTTACGTCTTCTCCTCTTGAAGTTATATTCTCTGATGTGTGGATCTCTCATATTTTCTCTGTTGATAATTTCAAATACTACGTGATCTTTGTCGACCACTTCACTAAATACATATGACTATATCCACTTATACGAAAATCTCACGTGCATGATGTTTTTGTAAGATTCAAATCCCTTGTAGAAAATTTCTTCAATCCAAAAATCATTACCTTTTACAAACAATGGAGGGGAATATCAAGCTCTTTCATCCTTTCTAGCTACCAATGGCATTACTCATTTAACTACTCCCATTCACAAACCTGAACACAATGGATACTTTGAACGTTGTCATCGTCATATTGTTGAAACCGGTCTACCTCTTCTCTCTCATGCATGCCTACCTCTCTCTTATTGGTCTTATGCTTTCACCACTGCAGTTTATCTCATCAATCGTCTACCCACTCCAACACTCCAGCTCCTCTCCCCCTATGCCAAACTCTTCGGTGTTTCTCCCAATTACTCTAAAGTACGGAGTTTTGGATGTCTATGTTAACCCTGGCTCCGACCATACTCTCCCCACAAACTCCTCGTTCATCTCCTTGTGTGTTTGTAGGTTATTCATCCACTTAAAGTGCTTATCTATGTCTTGATCCCACCTCCTCTCAAGTCTACAATTCGCATCATGTCAAGTTTGTAGAAACCATTTTTCCATTCACTTCTCTTCACTCTCACCTAGATCGACCTTCCTCTAACACGCTCCCTCATTGGTGTACCTCTATGTCTGTTCCTCCGACCACTGACATACCATCCTTGGCATCGCCCTCAACTTCCTCTACGGATCTTGATACCAACCCACCAATCCCTCTAAACTAGAACCTCAGTACCGCGATGCCCACTTCTCCATGCCATAATGTCCAAGTCCAGAACCTGAGCGTCACAGTCCCCTCCTCTCATGGTCCCCTAGCTCTACATGAAAACATCACGGTATCTCCTTCTTCAAGCCATGAACCTCAAAACTCTGTTAACTCCATATCACCTGACCCGCCTCTTCCCTCATCTCCTCGAGTTATTGTCACCCGCTCCAAAAATAATATCCACAAGCCCCTCGCTAAATTAAATCTCACTGCCCAACTTGCCCCATCTACTGACGTTGACCCAACCTCAGTGACTCATGCCATCAAAGATCCCTAATGGCATCACGCTATGTCTGATGAGTATGATGCTCTCGTTCGGAATGGGACATGGGACCTAGTTCCCCCCGATCCAACCCAGAATTTAGTTGGTTGCAAGTGGATTTTTCGAACTAAACATTTACCTGATGGCTCTGTTGACAGGTACAAAGCTCGTCTCGTTGCCAAGGGCTTTCATCAGCTTCCTGGCGTGGACTATGATGACATTTTCAGCCCCGTTGTCAAGCCAACCACTATTCGTCTGGTTTTCAGTCTTGTTGTCGGTTGTGGTTGGTCTCTTAGGCAGCTTGATATCAACAATGCTTTTCTCCAGGGTACTCTCTCTAAGGATGTATACATGACTCAACCACATGGATTTATCGATCGTGATCTTCCTCATCATGTTTGTAAACTTCGTAAGGCTATCTATGGCCTCAAACAGGCTCCCCGTGCCTGGCATCATGAGTTACGCCAATTTCTTATCACTTTTGGCTTTACCAATTCTCATGCGACACCTCTTTGTTTATCTCAAACAGTGATGTCTCATGCTCAAGGTTTGCTTCTATTACAACGTAAGTACATTAAAGATCTACTTGCCCGAACACACATGACGGATGCCAATCCTGTGTCCACACCTATTGCCATTGATCCTCTACTTACTCTTCACTCTGGAACTGCCCTCTCTAATCCCTCTGAGTATCGGACTATTGTTGGTAGCCTCCAGTACTTATCTCTCACTCGCCCTGACATTGCCTACACGGTAAATAAGCTATCTCAGTTTATACATCGTCCTACTACTGAGCATTGGATTGCAATTAAGCGCCTACGCCGCTATCTCTGTGGCACTTTTGATCATGGCATTGTTTTATATCGACATTCTGGCACAGCTCTCCATGCATTTTCTGATTCCGATTGGGTAGGTAACAAGGATGACTATACTTCCACTAGTGCTTACATTGTCTATCTTAGCTGGAATCCTATATCCTGGAGCTCTAAGAAGCAACAAACTGTGGCTCGCTCATCTACCGAAGCTGAATACCGCTCTATTGCAACCACTGCAGCTGAACTTCGTTGGATTTGCTCTCTTCTCACTGAACTTGGTGTTTCTCTTCCCCAACAACTTGTGATCTACTGTGATAATGTTGGTGCTACAAATTTGTGTTCTAATCCAATTTTTCACTCTCGCATGAAACATGTGGCTTTAGACTATCATTTTATTCGTGAACAAGTTCAAAGTGGTGCTCTTCGAGTGACTCATGTTTCTTCCACTGATCAGCTTGCAGATGCTCTTACCAAACCGCTTCCCCGTACTCGATTTCTCTTCTTACAGACCAAGATTGGACTCTCCACAAGGAGCTCCATCTTGCGCGGGGGGAGGGGGGTATGATAAAGGATATTCCTAAATTATATTCTTCCATTACTTTCCCGTCAATTAGTTTCTAATTGTTAGCTAGTTCCTTCCTAATTGTCAGTCATTTCCTCTTTCTTTATACTTACCTAGAATAGGATTACAATTGTAATATATGTATATTCTCAGTTGTACCTATTAAAGTAATACCATAATTTATTCTTCTATCAAAATCTTTACATAGTGCATTATTTTTATCAATCAATTTGGTAAGAATGCGTGTATGATTAGGTGAAGCATGCCTTCAGTTTTGACACAAGTTAAAAGAAGAAGTACGCTAGTCAGCAATTGAACGAGAAGAAGAAAAGAAATTTCCCGTCAATTTCCTTCACAGCTTTCTATATAAGCCATTTCCATTTCTGCATTCGGAGACTACAAAAAGAATAAAAAATCAAAAAGCTGTAACCAAGCAGCAATATTTTGGGATGAGTAGAGACAACTGGGAAAGGTTGGTTGTAGCCATTTTACGGAATGAAGAACTTCGGGAACTTGCCCGTGCCCCCTCGATGGACCCGAGTGATGTCAGTTCCAGGGTAAGTTTTAGTTCTATTACTTCGGATCTCGAGTCCAGGTTGAGTTTCAGTTCTCCTCCTCTCGAGCACGTGCCTGTCTCGCACCCTCAAGGTACATCTATTTTACTTTTGTGAGTTATAATGAAGCAATTAGGACTCTGTTGTGTCTTCTTTTCAGGCAAGATTTATCACTGGATTATGATCGGTGTTTCCTTGTGCTCGTTTATACGATGCTTTAAAAACATAAGATCGGTAAAAAATTTAGCACAATTTTATTAAGAAAATGAAGAATACTTCTGTGAACTAACTTCGAATCTTATTCAATTGATGATACATTACAGAGAGGACATGGCTATATTTGTAGAAGATTTAGGTTCCTACTTCACCACTGAATGTAAACTGAATAAACTGCTGCTAACTATCAAACTGAATTGACTGGTTGAAGGCTAAGCTAACGGATGTAACTAACTATCCTCTAAAATATCTTGAACAAAATTTTTGACGATGCAAGTAATGCTTTGATTTCTTTTGCAGCTCTAAATAAAAGCCGTGCAGTTCCTTTCACAGGAAGTTCTTTTCTAGATTGGATAATCCCGAAAAGAAGGCTGGTGAAACAAAAACAGAAGTTCTTCCAGCAAAATGGTGCATTACTTTTACAACAGAAAATTTCATTGGATTACGAAACAGGTAAAAAAAATTTCATGCATTTTTTATTGTTGTCCTGTTGGATCCTCAACCTATAGTATCAATGCTACTTCCATGCTAGAATAATTAACTAGGACTTGGAATGTCAGAATTATTGTCAATATTGTTTGGGAGTTGGTGCCTAGGTTTAACGTTACGCAAAACATTGTTTATTAAACTGGTCTATATTGATAAACTGAGGAGTATTTTATTTTGGTTTTTCTTAATGTTTATTATGATATAATTCTCAATCAAATCAAGCATTCAGCTAAGACAGGTTAATTTATGCACTGTTAAGAGGTGTCTGATTTAATCCACACACTTTGAAATATGCACACTCACTACCTATTGTACGATCTTTCTTACTTTTCTATTCTTGTTTTTTTTTCATGTTACACGCTTTACTTTGTTTTTATTGTTAATGACAAGACCAAGTATAAACTAAGCCCCCGTTTGACCCCCATTATTTGAAATTTTAAAGGCCGGAATGGTATTTTTTTAAAAATGTGTGGTTAAAAAAGAAGAAAATATTTTAGGATTACGTGTAATATTATTTTATTGAAGAATGTCTAGTTGAAAAGAAGAGAGAGAAAAATAAATTGTAATTTTAATTGGGACTAAACAGGGGCTAAGTTAAATTCTTCCTCCAGGGAATGAAGGACATTATCATATGACAGATGCTGCACTGAAAGCTCAAGCTGTTAATGTCCAGCCTATTGCTGTTCCATCAATTCATGGGGATGAATTGAAAGAAATAACTGATAACTTTGGCTCTGATTCTTTAATTGGGAAAGGCATATATGGGCTTGTATATTATGGAATTTTTAAGAATGGTCGGACTGCTGCGATAAAGAAGTTGGATGCAAGCAAGCAACCAGATGACGAACTCTTAGCCCAGGTTTCATTTGAATATTGTAACTTATTCAGTCCTACGAGGAATCAGGCATTCACAATTAACTATATCCAACAAATTGGTTTTGAACTTGCAGGTTTCTATGGTGTCGAGGCTAAAACATGAAAATTTTGTTGAATTACTTGGTTATTGTGTTGATGGAAATCAGCGTATTCTTGCATATGAATTTGCATCTAATGGATCTCTTCACGATATACTTCATGGTATGTGAACACCAATATTTTTGTTTCCTTGTCTGCTTTCCCCCCTGATAATCTTGGAGTCTTAGGTAGCAAAAATCTGAAACAACATTGTTACTTTCAAATGTGGGGCATCAAATTAAAAAATTTTCATGACTGCAGTTTCTTGTGAATAGTAGTTAAGTCATGCTATATTTACAACTGACAGATTAAGGAAGTTTGAGGTGGGCATTTTTTTTACGTATTGATGATTATACAACTCCCATCTTTTGACATTTTGATCATTATACTACTTCTCAGAATGCCTTCCCCTGCCTTTATACTAATTAATTGGAATGCCGGAGTTTGTGTATGGTCTGACTTTTTATTATCAACAGTTCTCTGTGTTGATCCATACTAATAACTTGAGGACAATTTCAATTTTTAATCTTCAATTGTCATCTTTCAGGAAGGAAAGGTGTTAAAGGGGCACAACCTGGTCCTGTTCTTTCATGGGCACGACGTGTAAAGGTTGCAGTAGGTGTTGCTAAGGGACTTGAATATTTGCATGAAAAAGCAGATCCTCACATCATCCACTGTGATGTTAAGTCCAGCAATGTGTTAATCTTTGATGATGATGTTGCTAAACTTGCAGACTTTGATTTGTCAAATCAAGCTCCTGATTTTCTTGGGACATTTGGTTACTATGCTCCTGAGTAAGATACTTTTGGAACGTTATATACACTTTCTCTCCTCTCTCCGCTTTTGAAATGTTATAATGCATTTTTCTGTCCTCTCTCCATTTTGGAACTCAAAAGTCAAGGTCATAGATCATATGTACTACGTAAAATGAGTCACTTGGCTCCCTATATTATGGTTATTGAAGCTTGAATAAGTCATTGTATCCTAATGTTAATCTGTTTCCTATACTTTTTGGCAACCAGGATTGTTGAGGGAGATGTTAATGAACATTATGACTACATTATGAAATTTTTTGTTATCATTAATTATATTTCGTGAAACTTTTTGTCTAGTCATCAGAACACTATATTCTGATTTGCTACTTATCTAAAATCCAGCTTCAGAGTTTCCGTTATGTGAACCTTATATTGGAATCCTGTAGTCATTTGGACCTCATCCTCCTACTGGCACTAAAACAATATTGGTGTTTTGTTATTTACTCGTGCACTTTGGTACCTTATTTGGCAGATATGCAATGACTGGGCAGCTGAACTCAAAGAGTGATGTCTACAGCTTTGGTGTTGTCCTTCTAGAGCTTCTCACAGGACGTAAGCCTGTTGATCATACATTACCTCGTGGGCAGCAAAGTCTAGTTACATGGGTATTAAGTTTCTCCAAATTTTCCTTTCTAACATCCGTGGTTCATTTCACATCTCATTTTATTTGAAATATGAATCTAATTTTTTGTGCTTTAGTTGTTTATTCAAATTTTCTACCATATTATTTAGGCTACGCCAAAGCTGAGTGAAGACAAGGTCAAGCAATGTGTTGATGGAAGATTGGGAGGAGAATACCCTCCTATGTCAGTCGCTAAGGTAACTATCAAGTTTCGATTTAGAAGGAGAAGATTGCATTTTTCGTGTACACATCTGGTGCAAGTGCTGAAGTTTGTAAATATTGCTGTACTGGTTAAGATTTAAATCATTTTGGTAAAGAAGGACGATATACTGATCTTATAGTAACAGATTAAGATATGTTTGATTGCTATTATTACAGTTTTCCTCACTCATTCTCTCTATTTTATTGCAGATGGCTGCTGTTGCTGCCTTGTGCGTCCAATATGAAGCTGATTTCCGGCCAAACATGAGCATCGTAGTCAAAGCCCTCCAGCCACTTTTAAATGCTCGGCCAGGACCTGCTGGTGAAGCTGGCCAGACATGAGATTTGCAGCTAAGCTACTGATTGTGCTGCGTGGGCGGGATGAGTTGGTGAGTAGAAGCATGGTAATGTTTCATTCTTCTCCATGTCTAAGGTATCCTTGATTTTTTTGAGTGAAGTGCATTAAAGATGTTTCAGTCAGTTTATTCGATTGTTGTTTATAATTTATGCAATGATTGTGTTGAACAAGAATGAAAAGGTCTTTCAGAAATGACAGTTATTATTTCTCTGAGCGAATATCTGATGACTTTTAAGTAAAATTTCATCCAATTGGATATGGATATTGATGAATATTTCCACACCCCAAACAACGAGAACACAATAATTCTTGTTTTCAATCATTATTCTTCTCTTTGTTCAATATCATGTTTGCTGATTAGCATCGTTTTTCCATTTGTTCTGACTAATTTAAGGTTAAAATGGTTGTCAGCTAAAAGAGATTAATAACAGTATATTGAAAACTCTTACAAACTTTAATGTGAGAGTGTAGCAATTGAAGAGTGATTTTTAATGATACGCAGATGGCTACATTGTCAATGTTATGTGAGTTAATAAAATTTCAAATCTTGATTATTATGGTGAAATGTCAAAATTGCTAGTTTGGAAATTACATAAAAGTAATTGAAAGATATCAAATTCAGTGTACACCTGATGCAATTCAAGCATCAGTGGAACACCGGGACAGAAACTGAGTTATTTCCTTTGGGATGAGTAGAATCCGTTCTATCTAATATGAGGGCCTGAAAGATGCGTTGCGTTACGCGTTCATGTAGTATATTTTGATATGATAAAATAATAATTTATAATAATTAAATTGTGACACATTATATTTTGATCATAAATAATTTGTTCACAACCAATGTATAATGGTTGGCATCGTCCTGTATTGGAAGGTTGTAATATTGATTGATTCACTATTCGAGTTTGTGATTTGTCCTCATCCCAGAAATAGTTAAAGGTTATCGATACTATTACACTTGGAGTGTATTGAAAGAACCACATGTCGAGTTTAAATCTATAGCATGATCGTATGGATAATTAAATCACTTGATCGCCTTGTATTTAATCTAAATCCCTTGAAATGATTATGTATATATTTTCGTAAGTTTAATGGTTCTTTGATTCGACAATGCGTGAAATCAATTTGATTGATTAAATATTTTGATGAGTTGGGAACTTGAGAATGAGTAAAGTAAAGAATATGAATTTGTGTTGGGAACCATCGTCCTGAAAAATGGGTAGAATGACTATTTAAGTATTTTCTGATGAATGGTTAAAACCTGAGCTCAATGTTTAACGATAGCTGCTTTGACATCTGTTATTAGTTTACATGACCGTTGAAGAGAATAGTACTTAAGTTGGTGAGTATAATTAGAAGGCAAAACAGATATTTATGTTCATACCTAATTATAGAATCTTTAACGGGAATAAAATACATATACTGTAGGTTTGAAGAAAGTGTTAATGATTTATTGACTTCTGTGATCTTATATATTTTAAGAGCTCGAGTCTTTTTGCCTTTAGTGGAAAAGGCAAAGACTGATAATTAGATTGAGTATTTTATGATCAATTAGATAAGATCTAATTATTGGAGTTTGCAGGTAGCTATATAAAGTTTTGAGACTTAATTATGGTAATTATAATAATTTTGGGCTTAATCGTAATTATAATAAAGTTTGGTACTTAGTTGTAATTACTTTAAAAGTTGCAAACTTAATTGTAATTGAAGTTATAGGACTACACATGTAATTAAATATAAACTAATGGATTAATCTAGTTGTACATAATCCTCTACATAATGGTTCACATAATGGTGATGTGGCAATCATCCACTTATTGATGTGTAAGTGTAAAAGTTGAATTAAAGGCAGGACACATGCCACGTGTAATTATGTGAACCATTATGTGAATGGTTATGTACCAGTAGCATTACCCTAAACTAATTGGATGTGAACTTTAATTAAAATTCCTATTTGTCTTTTAATGAAGATTTCTATTTGAAATTTGAATTATTATTGTACATGGATTGAAACATTTTTATCTCTATAAATGGAGATTATATAGACAGAGAAATCCTAGAACAATTATAATTCCATATTGCTCAAATTGGGGAGAGAGAAAAAGTGAGAAAAAACATTTTTTTTTTATTGTCCGGTTCTAGAATTAGTTTCTTGATTTAATTAAAAAAATGTGTCCGCTCAACGGTGTAATCTTCACTTTCAGAATATCATAGAAAATTTAGAGATTTGAAGTATCAATTTGGAATTAAAAGTTTGGAAGCTCGTGATCCAAAAAAATGAAATTCCCTATTCAAATTCAATTCAAAAATTGATCACCGAATTTAGGTAAAAATTCGATTTCCGATTTCTTGATATAACACACACGTAAACATTTAGATGATCTTGTTTCTTGAATTAAAGAATTTTTTAAATTTTCAAGCAATTCTTCTTCGGCATTCCAAGATGGACACTGGGTTATGGGGGTGTTTAGAGTCAAGAAATACATATAAACAGATGCCAACCTTCAAATACAAGACAGTAAACCAAGAATCCATGATTGATCCCAAATAACCGTCCACCTTTGAATAATACGTACAAGCGTGCATGGGTGTTTGTTTGTCAAAATTAATGACTTCGTAAAATTAAAAGAAAGAAAAAGTATAAACGGAGATGAAGCGAGGTATATCATACCAAATCTCGCTAAGACAAATTTTGCCCCCCTACACAAGCGCCAACATGAATATCGAACGTTCGTCTTTCAAAATATAACGTCTCGTCCAAAGTCAGTACTGCACTATACAAACCTCATTGGTCGAATCAAAGTGTTGAGGGTATTCTTCTCAAACGAGAAATAGCCTTGAATTTAAAACTGCTTAGACAAAAAATACTTCAAATGAAATTGTTTCAGCAAAATAAAAGAAACAAAATTTATTTTAAAGGGTGAGAGAATTAGAAATCAATTGATTTAATTTGGCACTATTTAGAGATTTCTAGTGGTTCAAGTGGGTGCACCGTTTGGTCGGATCAATCTGAGCGCTTAGATCACACCACTTTAGATTGATGGTCCATGACTATTCATCGTACACCTGTTACATAGTGCAAAGTCCGCCTCTAAAACTTCCATGTGAACTTCATGACATGCATGGGCTGAGCGGTAGCCTTAAAGCACTAGTGCCAAGCCATGGGGTAGGTGGACCTAGTATCAAATTACTAAATCCAAAAGGGAGGGTGAATGTGGTTCCATTTGGTTCTGGTTTCAAGAGAACCGAATCGAACATGAACCATGATTTTTTATAATGAAATCAATTTTTTTATATTTTTTTAAAGATATGGAACTGACTATTCAGTTTTGGTTTTATTTTAGTTCCATTATTGATGAGAGAGAGAGAGAGAGAGAGAGAGAGAGAGAGAGAGGAAAAAGATCCAAAAGTTGAGGCTTCAATTCCAAAAATCCATACGACGATGGTGGTTGAGCGCAACGATAGACTGCAGGCAATAGTTTGTCTCCACGTGAGAGTTGATGTATAAATTGAAAATAAGAGAAAATGATAAATGAATTAGGGTCTAAGTCTCCAGTGTCCACATTGAAAAATGAGAAACTAAAGGTAATGCCTTTTTTCGTCCAGATTTTCAATTGAATTTTGATTTTGATTTTTTTTTTGTGATTCACTAATTTGTAAAAGAAAAATGTATATATATAAAAAATAATGAAATTTTAATATTGAATTTTATATTTGGTTTGATTCTTGGTTCTAGAACTAGAATGAATTGGTTTTCAGTTCTAAAAACCAGAACTATTATTATTATTTTTTGTAAAATCGAATCGAACTGCTCGATTTGATTTGGTTATGATATGATCTGACCATTTTTTCCACCCCTATTCAAAAGTGTTCCACAATATAAGAGAATAAATGAGTACAAATTTTGATAATCTTTCAATTCAATAACATCATTTTTCACTCAAAAAATTAATGGGCTTTAAATTGAAAACTTTTCCAATTCATCCAATTAATTTTGGGGAACAATATATAAATACTATATATAAGAATGACATTTCAAAAATAACAAAATAAAAAACATTTTAAAAAATCAGGTGTTAAAATAGACCCTATTTATAAATGGGAACAATACATAAATCTTATATATAAAAATTACATTTAAAAAATAACAAACTTCAAAAATCTTTTAAAAAATCAGGTGTTAAGTCAATTAATTAAATATTTTTAATTATAATATAATACAATTACCTCAATTTATTAAATTTCAAATCCAAATCATTCTCTTTCTCTCTACTCTCTATCATCTCCCTACCCCTTCTCTCTATCGGAGGCGACCATCTGCTCCGGCGGCCGGTCCGACGATAGTTTCGACGGCTACACCGATGACTTAAAAATTTTCAAAAAATTAAAAATCGGAAATCACAACCCACGCTCATGGATCCACCTACCACCACCCCACCCTACCTCCACCTCCTAAAAAAATTATCGAAAAAATTTCAAGTCACTTTATAATCAAGCCACTGACACACATCATCCATGACTAATTGTGACCAGGTTTGTATTCAATGTGACTAACTGTGACCAAATTTATGTTAAGTGTGACTATCCGTGACCAATTGAATCTTAATTGTGACCGTATATGACCAAGTCACAATCGGTCACAATTAACACAAAATTGGTTACAACCAATCACAATCGGTCACAATTAACACAAAATTTGACGAAAAGTGTCACTTGCCAATATTTTACATTTTTAAGAACCCTTTTTTTCTTAACTAGGCTGCTTAAATGTGCATTGGGGTTGATGAAATGGGGTTTTGGAATTCAAACCATTATCACCTTCATTGCATGTAGTAATTATGTATTTAGAAATTGAATGAGTGCTATTTTTTGTGCTAATTAGATCCAATAATAATGTTGACTTGTAAATTTATTGCTACAAATTCAAAAATTGTTGCCATCAACACTACCATACGGCAATCCTTACCCCGCCACCACCACCTCC